CCCTGGGCTGCATCCTCCAAGGACGCGGTCTACCTAGACTGGAACCTTCGAAGTCCTTGAAAATAAGGAGGCCGGAAGAGTTCTGTCTGTAAATTCGAACAGGTCCTCCCTTCGGCGGGTTTTACCGCCGTATGCTCTGTTGCTTAGCATCCGTGAAAGTTGACACACAAAGCAGGAAAAGAATGAATACCGGGGTTTTCAAACCTGTTTGTTTATTTATTTATTTTTTAAAAAGTTAAAGTGAACAAAGACTACACTCACAAGAATCCAGAGTGGAATAAAGGTTCCAACCACTGGGAGCAGGAACAAATCAAATCAAATGTAATGATAGAAACCTTAGTCAGTTAAATAACATGCTGCTGTCATTCTGCACATCTCTGATGTTGCTGCTATTTTCAAATATCCATTACTGTAAAAATGTCCATAGCTGCATATTGGTTATTTATTCTCCAGTTTTATATTGTTAAAACACTTTACAGAATTTTATTTTTTATATTTTAACTCTTCCCTATTATGTTATTCTTATACATTTCTCTAAGGTCCTCATTTGTGTGACCATTTTCAATAATCTTTTTGCTGCTGTAAATTTGCCCATTGTGGGAAAATAAAGGGATTTTCTATTCTATTCTATAAAAGGGTTAGAAATATATAAGTAAATCTAAACAATGTATCTACAAAATATATCTGCAAAATCTCTAATATTCAACAACAAAAAATACTTAGTTAAGCATATTGTGCAAAACAACAATAAAAAAATTAAAATCCTATCAGATTTATAGTCCCCACTCTGCAGATCTATTAGAATCTGTCCTTAAATTACAGCCAAATTCATTTACACAGTAACAGATTAAAACCTTTAAATAAACCAAACATTACCGCCACATATCTAACTCAATAACTATTAAAACAACTATTTTCATTAATTTCAGACGGAACTATTCACAGAGTTGTATTATATTAAACTGAACTTCAAATTTTCACAACTGTTCTGCGCCAAGTAACATTTCCTCTGATCACGGAGCAAATCCCGATGATGAGACATTTGTTCTTTCAATATCACCCCCCCCCCCCCCGCTCCAAGGTGTCCTGGTTTTCCCAAATGAAAATATGGTCACCCTACTATACATCTTAAAGCTGTAGTAAGTATATGTATTAAGTTTTGACAAATAACAGGAAGTCAGGTTGTGTTATTGTAAATACAATTCTTAAGATTGAACCAGGTCATTGGGATACACCCATAACACACCCTGGAAACAGAAACTTGCTTTGTATGATAAATGAGTTTCGCCTCATGTTTTTTATAAAGGTGAATTTGCTTTTTATAAAAAAGATATTTACCCTCTTTGAAGAGTTTGTTTAAAAAAAAACTCTTAAAAAAAAAACTCTTCAAAAAAAACTCTTTGAAGAGTTTGTTTATCACAAACATCTTTTCTACTTCCTTGAATATTATATCAGATTTTAGATTGGTCCTTAGTTTAGATGATAAAATTTCTTCTTTCAAAATAAAGTGATATACTGTTTTATAAATACAACAGAAAAACTTTTTACCAGGGAGGGAAACATACCTGGAACTCATTAATTACTTTTCCGTGGATTTGCTGTAGGCACAACGGATACATTTCTCACTCCTGTGTTTTTCTTAAAGGGTTTAGTCTGGTCTCTCGCTGATTTCAAATTTTTATTTGTGGATTTGCATTTTTATAAAGGTTGAACTTTAGCCTTTTCTTTCTTTCTTGTGCCACTAATTGTTGTTCCATTATTTGGGTTTAAAATATACTCAAAGAAGAGACAACCAAATGTTCTAAACATATAAATAAGTAAAGGTGTGGAACAGTAGATGATGCAGAAAGTGACACAGTCCTCTCTTAACTAATTTGATGTCTGCAAGAAATTATTTTTGTCAACTCATTATCCAAATGGTGTTAGAAAACCCATGAATAATGGAGATGGTATTTGTGATGAAGAGAATTACCAATAAAGAGAGGAAGTTCTTTTTAAATAATCAAATGTTAAATATAAAAAACTGAGTCATGATCCCATTATAGCTTCTCCCAAAAATATATTCTAATCATGATTATGCCTAAATTAATAGTAACCAGCACAAATGACTTCACATCTCTTCAGGTGGTCATGCTGGGGTTCAGACAGTTGCTTTGGAAGAACTTATATTGATGTCTGTATTAATTAATCCCATTGCTACATTAATTTGCTATAATTTATTACATGTTTTAAATGTATCTATTTTGGTTTTGATTTTGAAAATCTTTTTTTGTCTAAATTGGTTTATCTTTTAACACATTTTCTACAAATTTAAATGGTGTGTGAGTTTAGCTTTGTGCTTAAATTTAAAAAGGAGTCTAGAAGACAGACTAGTAATTAGGATCAGTTCCTTTAGCACTGGTAAGGTGTTTCTGTTTCAGCTTTCAATCTATCTGAACATCTCAAAAACAGATGTAGATTAAAACTGGTTTTATTGAAACAGTGTTTCTAGTAGTATATGGAACAAGTCACTCTTAAAAAAAGTATAAGACAATGAAATGGGTTATCCATAAAAAAAATAATGAATTAGTAAATTTTTTATCTAACTTGATTGAAATTGGCATTAAATGTTCAGAACCTGTTAATTAATCCGTCAAAAAAATTAAGTCAGGTTGCTTCATGTGAATGCTTCATATCATCACATAGTGTTATTTTTGACAGTTTATGTTGAGCGATTAGCTCCAGGTCTTTCAGGTTTGAAAGCTTTCTTTCCATCACCCCAATCTTCAGAACTGTCAATAGATTTTTTTATTGGATTTCATCTGGATTAAAGATATCCATAAACCTTTGAATCTGCAGAAAGTGATTGAAAATGTATTTATTTTGGCATATGATCGTCAATATAAAAGCAACATCATAGAGAAAACAGTATGTAATGTATAGAATATTCTCTTACCACACCTTAGACCCCTTAGTAGCAGCTTTTAGTAAACAACACTCCTCTAAACATTTTGTTGTTTTGAATTTGATAATGAACATAATGATTAATTGAACTTAAAATATCTGGTTAAGAGATCCCTTCTGTCTGTCAGTATTTTCCCAACAACTCATCGAATGTATGCCATAAAAATTTAGGACAGTTCTTTAAATAAAAGGCATCCAATGGGGTAACAGCAGGTTATTTCACTAATGGCTAATAGTGTGTGTATGTGTCCACAACAACAGTCACTAAAAAGCTAATGTTCTACTGGGGAATGGTGAACTTTTTATTTATAATCTCTTACTTTAATAATTACACTATATTGCCAAAAGTATTTGCTCACCCATCCAAATTATTGGAATCAGGTGTTCCAATCACTTCCATGGCCACAGGTGTATAAATTCAAGCACCTAGGCATGCAGACTGTTTTTACAAACATTTGTGAAAGAATGGGTCGCTCTCAGGAGCTCAGTGAATTCCAGCGTGGAACTGTGATAGGATGCCACCTGTGCAACAAATCCAGTCGTGAAATTTCCTCGCTCCTAAATATTCCACAGTCAACTGTCAGCTGTATTATAAGAAAATGGAAGTGTTTGGGAACGACAGCAACTCAGCCACGAAGTGGTAGGCCACGTAAACTGACGGAGCGGGGTCAGCGGATGCTGAAGCGCATAGTGCGAAGAGGTCGCCAACTTTCTGCAGAGTCAATCACTACAGACCTCCAAACTTCATGTGGCCTTCAGATTAGCTCAAGAACAGTGCGCAGAGAGCTTCATGGAATGGGTTTCCATGGTCGAGCAGCTGCATCCAAGCCATACATCACCAAGTGCAATGCAAAGCGTCGGATGCGGTGGTGTAAAGCACGCCGCCACTGGACTCTAGAGCAGTGGAGACGCGTTCTCTGGAGTGACGAATCGCGCTTCTCCATCTGGCAATCTGATGGACGGGTCTGGGTTTGGCGGTTGCCAGGAGAACGGTACTTGTCTGACTGCATTGTGCCAAGTGTAAAGTTTGGTGAAGGGGGGATTATGGTGTGGGGTTGTTTTTCAGGAGCTGGGCTTGGCCCCTTAGTTCCAAGGAAAGGAACTCTGAATGCTTCAGCATACCAAGACATTTTGGACAATTCCATGCTCCCAACTTTGTGGGAACAGTTTGGAGCTGGCCCCTTCCTCTTCCAACATGACTGTGCACCAGTGCACAAAGCAAGGTCCATAAAGACATGGATGACAGAGTCTGGTGTGGATGAACTTGACTGGCCTGCACAGAGTCCTGACCTCAACCCGATAGAACACCTTTGGGATGAATTAGAGCGGAGACTGAGAGCCAGGCCTTCTCGTCCAACATCAGTGTGCGACCTCACAAATGCGCTTCTGGAAGAATGGTCAAAAATTCCCATAAACACACTCCTAAACCTTGTGGACAGCCTTCCCAGAAGAGTTGAAGCTGTTCTAGCTGCAAAGGGTGGACCGACGTCATATTGAACCCTATGGATTAGGAACGGGATGTCACTTAAGCTCATATGTGAGTCAAGGCAGGTGAGCAAATACTTTTGGCAATATAGTGTATCTTTACTCAGTAAGATCACCAGGTTGACTTTTTGAACAGATAAAGTGCAACTCCTATGCCCTTTCACTAAATCTCCTGCAAAAAAATGATCAATTCACAATTTCTAAACATGAAGCTGTTAGAAGAATGTTGATGTTTCTTTCTCTGACCACAGAAAGCCGCAGAACAGAGAGTGAAACACAATTGTTCTTGGATCTTTGGCCAAATATTCAATTGTCCACACTTGTTGCTCACAGACAAAAGACAAGGGTCTGTGTTGCCTCTGTGCTGCATGATAGGACAGAAAGGAAGTGGATATGGAGATAAGCGGTATAGTCAGGAAGTTGTTGCAGTTCTGTTGTCAAAAGATAAAAAAAGGTCTAAACAGCCTCAACGTTCTAATTAAAGGGAAATTTTTTATTCTTGGCTGAAAAACAATCAAAGCATTTATATGCAGCTGTGTTCTTGTGATATTCACCTGTAAAAGCTAAATAACATTTGATTAACTACATCTATTGTTCTACAGCACTGGAAAGCTAAACACGAGTTTAACTCCCATCTTTGGAAGCCTATTTCCTGTCTATGCTAAATCTAGAGAGTAAAAACAACAAGGGAGGAGTGAAAAATGATACAGTCTGAGCTGAATACCATAGGCGTGGTTCTTAATTCTTTTCTCATGCACTCAAGGGTCTTTGTGCCTGAAACTCTATCTTCTTTCGTTTTCGAATGAACAAAGTAGATCTTATGCTTATTTAAATTATAGTTTAGCAGGTCGTGGTTTATGGTAGAAGTACTTGAATATGGTGACGATCAGCACTGATACTGAGGAGAGCTTGAGAGAAAAAATGGAGAATCAGAAACCAAACACACAACTGCTACAAGACGTGTTGTGTGATTCCTGTATGGAGACCCCGAGCAAAGCGCTCAAATCCTGCCTGACGTGTCTGGTTTCCTACTGCAAAGCCCACCTCAGACCCCATCTGGAGAATGCCAAATTTCAGAACCATCGTTTGGTGGATCCACTCCATGACACTGACCGTCAGACCTGTGAGGTTCATCAACTTCCCCTCGAGAGCTTCTGTTTTCTGGATGGCTGCTGCATCTGTGCGGAATGCGAGGGTCAGGAGCACCACGGGCACGAGACAATATCTGTGGAGGAAGCTCGAGGAAACATTGAGGTCTTTTGAAATAAGAAAAAAACAAGAATATTAATGTTTGTACTGATTTTGAATCTGCTAAAGTTTGTAGAATCCTTTCAACATGTGTTACTATTTTATTTGAAATAATATGCAGACTGAACTCCTGCAGAAACAACAGAAAATCACTCAAACTGTCTCAGATGTAGAGAAAGTGATACTAAAATTACAAAGCAATGGCGTTTTAATTAAGGTAATCTTACCTTTAAAACATTTATTTAAAGCAAAATCATCTGCACTATAAATACATAAAGCAAATTTTTTCATTTTTTTACCCCTATAGTCTTCAGTACAGGAGCTGTGTGTTATGGTTGAAGAGCAGTTCACCAAGCTGCAGAAAACTGCAGAGGAGGCCAGAACCAGGGTGGAGGCGGTGCTGAAAGGACAGCAGAACCAAGCTCTGAGACAAGTAGAGGGCATACAGGCACATCTGGAGCAGAAGAGGGTCGAGATGATGAAAACTGCAGCCAAGATGAACAAACTGTCTAAGAGCAAATCTGATGTTGATTTTCTAAAGGTAATGTCTTTCAGGAGTTAACACACCTTTCTTATATCATGTAAACTTTTTGAACATTTCATGATATTTCCTGTACTATTTAAACAAGAAATAAACAAAGAAAAATAAATATTTAAGGCAGAAAAACAATTAAAAGCTAGAAAGAATCTTACTCAAGTCTATCTTCACTGGTATAATTTCGATAAACAATGGGATTGGTTGATTTACGGGTCTTAAAGCAGCTTTAATCAAATTTAACCAGTTTTAGTTTGAATCACCCCTTTGTAACTTATGCAGTTACGCTAATCATGTGCTTACTTTTGACATGATTTTACATGATATAACAACCATGGGTTAACACCATAATTTCCCCATTGTGGGACAATAGAGGGGTTTTCTATTCTATTCTATTTTGATAGTTATTTTTACCCTCTGTTTCAGATTAACTGGTAGAACAGAGTCAGTCAAAAAAGGTTTTCAGGTTGTTATGAAGAAGGAAGATTACAGAGTCTGGTGTATGTTTAGGGGTCAAAGGTTTGATGTAATGTCAGATTAGACCAAGATATTGTGTCTGAGAAGGGGTTTATTTTGGATACAGGCCTGTTGACAGTGTACATAAAGGTTTTCTGTGGCTCCATAGAAAAATTAATGGGTTCCAGTTCAGAGAAAAGAGAAATAATGGACTTTTTTTTTTTTTTTTGGTTTGTTTCTAAACCAAATCAACTTGATCCATTATATTTGTATGCTGTGCTCACATTATAGGATTACACAGAGTGGGGAAAAAGATTGCCAGATGTATGCATCCCCACTGTGCACATCAGTCGACTGGACCATTTACAACAATGCGTTCAAGCAGTGACTGATGTAACTCAGGAGCTGTGTGGCCTGATTTTGGACTCCTACAGTGAAAAAATTAGCTCCATCTGCAAAAGTGGTGAGCTCATTTTTGTTAAATCATCTTCCAGATCATTGGAGATGAAGCTTAGACATAATTACTTCAGCATATTATTTTTTTTATTTTTTTTTATTTATCCTTTAATGATATGTTAATCCAGGGGCTGTATCACATTCCTTAGATTCAGACTTATCTGTTTAAAGAACTGAATTGATCAGTCAAACAAATTTGTATATAAATGATTGAATAAGCCTTAAATCCGGCATCAGTTATCACATATACTGTACTTCTACTGAGAATGGCTTGAGATAACTTGATAACTCATGTTTCAGAAGTACTAATTAACCCCTGCTGTTTCTGGTTAACTGTTTTAAAAATGTAGATATGCTTGAAGTATATAGCATCAAGCTTAATGATGTAAAAACCAACCTTGGAATTTTTAACTAGAGTGAAATTATATCAGACTTAAATTGAGCATATTTATTGATTAGAGAAAAAAGTTAAGATATAACTTTTTCAACAAAATATACTATGAAAACTTTGTACGGTACCATTTCTCAGTACACCATGGAACATTTTCCCAAGGGAAAAGCTGCAGGTCCCTCCCTATAATGTTTCACAAGGTTGGAGTATACATATGAAGCTATTCCATTTCCCACTATCTCTTTCACTCATCAAACTTGCTGGCTTCACTTTTGTCATCTATTTATAGATTTACTGTGGGATTTCAGTCTAGACACTAAACTTTCTGGGAAAAAAAGGTTAATTTTGTTTCCTTTGAACCATTACTTGAATTGACCAGAGGTTTTAGATTATAATTCCCTTAAATAGCCCATAATGGTCAAATATCGATTCTCTTGTGGAGTCAAAAATATTCTGGCATTAAAAAAAAGTTCTCAGTGTTAAAAATCCTCACCAGGATTTAACACTTTTTGAAGGAGGAACAAGCACACTGCCTCACATATCCTCAGCCACACTTATGAGTAGGTCCCATTTGCTTTTCCTCATTTTTATAAGCATTATGTCAATGCTGCCTGAAATGTGTCTAAACCTTTATTTCCATAAAAAGGTTTGCAATCTTCAAATGTTTACATTTATGATGGTAGGATGGATTAGTTGGGGGTATCACTAACAAATAACAGTTAACATGGGTTATCTAGTGTTTGGTAATGAAGACTTCAAGATTACGCTTTTCAATGCAGTTCAGATGACAACATTCTATTCTTTCCTCATCCTTACTTGTAAGTCCTTACAAGGCACACTTGGGTCCTCATTCAGCCTACTGACCATTAGTTAGTTGAAATGTTCAAAATCTAGATAACCCCAAATTAACTACCAATCACAATTTCAAAAAGTCAATTCAAGCAAAACATTAGTCTACATCAAATAAAGGCTTTATTACATTGATTTCAATTGATTTTTAAGAGATACCAGCAATCATTTCACTTGGATTTTTTTCACAATGATTATTTTATCCTCTGAATAGTTATTATTAAAGCAAAAATTTGACTTGGAGTGGTTAGATTTGTAAAAGATTAACCCGCTGCAATAAAAAGTTCATTTTTATGGCTTTTTGCATGTTTGCTATGGGAGCTGTTACAAGTTTAACAATTTTGTGCTTAACTTTTCTGCCAACTGATAAAACAGGTGCTAAACACTTCATGCAAGAGTGTGCGCCATCTTCTCTGCCTGATCCTGTGAACCAGGAGGACTTTTTGACATGTAAACACTTTATATATGTCCTTTTTGTCATTGCCATAAAACTAGTGTCCCATAAAACTACATTTCCTGTTTCAGACACAACGAGATTGACCTTTGACCCTGACACGACTCATCATTTTCTACGTCTGACAGCGGACAACCGAAAGTTAACCAACACCAGCCCCTGGCAACACAGCTACCCTGACCACCCCAGTCGATTTAAATATTGGCGTCAGGCCTTGACATTGGAGAGCCTCTACTTGGGGAGATATTACATTGAGGCAGAGCTGAGTGGGGAGGGCGCCCACATTGGAGTCACTTACAAAAGCATAGATCGTAAAGGAGAGGAAAGCAGTAGCTGCATCACTGGGAATGATTTTTCTTGGTGCGTTGGAAGAAACAACAGAGGTTTCTCTGCCTGGCATGCTGGGGAGGAGACTTCTTTGGAAGTCTCAGAAGTCACCAAGGTTGGCATATATCTGGACTTTCAACGCGGCTCAGTGTCTTTCTACGATATAACAGGCCCTATGATGCTACTCTACACATACATTACTGACTTCATAGAGCCCCTATATGTTACGGCCTGGCTGTCAAAGAAAGACAATGTTGTGACTCTGGTTCATGCAAAATGACGGCAACACGTTTTCTGCTGAGTTATAAATATCTACGGAGGTTTCATAATACGGGCAAAAATGTAGTGTGTCAGTGGCAGGTAATTCACATGCATGTCAACGAATGAGAAATTTATAACCACCTTGTGCATAATCTTGTAAACATACGAGTCATATACATCAGTGGATTGTTTCAAATCTTCTGCAGCTTTATTGCTGTTTTACTGCCATGGAATGTAATGTAAATAATGGGGAGAGAGCCAAACACAATAACTCACAATGTCACTTTTTCTCTTTATATTTTGCTTTAATTAATTAAACTCCTTGTACAGCACTATTACATGATCAGTTTGATAATACTAAAATCTATGATCATTCTGTATATTTTAAGTGCATGCTTACATTTAATCAGGAAACTGTGTGAAAAATCTACTTTAAACTGTAAAGTCGGTTTCATTCTCATCATACGCTGGATTCACAAAATGAACTCCGGTCTGTGTGATGATGATGGAATCGGTGCTGCTCACACCGGGAATGTTACTTAGCATGTCAGGCTTATCAAATATCGGGTTGTCAAATCCACGGTCAATGGCCCCATTGAGGTCGTCATCAACGTTGATGTTCCTCTTGAAGAGGTTTAGAGTTGGCAATGAGGGCATTGCAGGCATTGAGGGCAGTGGAGGCATCTGTACAACTCCCTTACGGATTAGCACAACCACAATCACTACAAGTGCAATCACAAGTAAAACTCCACACACAGCTCCAACCACAGTCCCTGCATTGCTTCCAGGCTCACTACTTGCTTGAATGTCAGCTCCTGTTATTCCCAATTTGGAGCCATGAACTTTGATATCTTGGATCATGTCCTGAGCCAGAGCTTCTGATAGCTTCCCTGTCTCTCCATCCAGAATAACGACCTGTATTTCAGGGGATGATCCATAGGGGATTATTCTCATCAATTGCTGTGGCTTCAAGACTTTAGACATGCCCAGCTGAATGGACTTGTATTGTGGAAGTATGAGAAAAAGGTGACGGATTCGTTCTCTGTAGTTCTGCAGGTTGAAGCCATCAGTATAATGGATGGTAACAACGGCACCACACACCTCACAGCAGTGTCCAACAGGAAGCAGGGGGGTCTCACACCTCAAAGAGCCACAGGTTACTGCACTGCAGATACGTTCATGATTGACAGAGTTCCCACAGTCACAGCCAGTAGGATCCCCACAACCTGGGTTGCCAACGGTGACAGCTGATGACCCATGAAACTGCAGCTGCCCTGAATCTGAGCTTAGATACTCTGAGAACTCAGATTTGCTTTCAAATACCTTTCCCAGCACAGACAAAGATTTGACAGGGATGGTGTTCTGGTTGGAGCTGGTGTCCACGCGGAAGGAGGAGAGGGCTTTGAACACAACATCATCCTGCTGACAAGGGACCATCTCTTCATGCACAGAGAAGAGGAAATTTCCGTCCAGCAGGTCGTTCTGAGTGGCAGCTGTTTGCCACAGAGTTGGATTAAGCCATTGCAGAGCCTCTGAGTTTTTGAACTTGGTCTTCACTCCTGTTCCACAATCTGGGTCCTGTCCGGCGACAACATAAAAACCAGCTCCCGAATTCAGAATAATCTCTCCATCCATCGGTAGCATCATCTCCTGCACGGCGTGATTGGTCTCCACAAACACAGACACCTTCCTCTGAGATGAAAACTGGACTATGTCACTGCCACACGGAACATCTCCTTTATCCCAGTTGGTCTTATTCTCGTAGTTGGTATTAGGAATCCACTGTTTGTAAAGGGCATTTGCTGCCCCAGCAAAACAGAGGATAAGTAGCACTTGTGGCATTTTCGACATCTTGAATATTTGTGGCAGTGGAAGGAAATTTTTTTGACCTTTGAGTCCAACCTTGTGACAAACATGAGACCAGCTCCACATACTGCTAAAGTTCATGAGCTCATCCTGTTCAGGAGCAGGTGACCTGTCAATATTTACACCTTCTGATGTGACACTCCTGCAATATGAACACCCATCCAAACTATCCTTAAGCTCTTTTTTCTGTGGTCAAAACAACTTGTAAGAAGGTTGAAATAATATGTAACATTTTAAAAGACTAAATTATGGCTTTAGGTTGCTTATTTTCTGCTTTTCACAAAGAAATAAATAATAATAGTTAGCAATATAGGTTTAATAAATAAAAAGTTGACACTGGAGGTAATGTGCATTTTTGCAAAGAATATGACTTTTCATGACTACATTAGCCAAAAAAATCCATTATTTAATTATAAATCAGAATAAACTGGACATAAAGATGATCCTACTGTAACTACTTTAACTATTCTGACTGATCTGCAACATAAAACCTAAACATTTAAACCATTTTCATAAGTATTCAAAGCCTTTACACTTCCCCACATTTTGCTATTACAGAACTCATTGGAATTTTGTGAAATTTTGCAAAAAAAAGTAGTCCAGTATTATGAACTTGAGGGAAAATAAACATGATCTGCATTTTTTATTTTATCTGAAAAGTTGTGGCACATTTTTAGGTCAAGCTGTACATTTTGGGTTCTGCTAAAAAATTTAATTACCCCCCCAGTCTCAACTCTTTGTTAGGGTTTAATTGGTTTTCTTTTAGGGTTTCCCTCTTTTCAGCTCCTTCTATCGCACTTTAGCTTTGACTCACTCCTGTTGAGCAAAAACAAAAACATCTTGTCAAAAACAAACATTTTGGCTTTATCTAATCCCATTTTGGTGATATCCCCTGCATGACAGAAATATTAAATTTGAAAAGAAAATGACTAAATGTTTTCCCATCTACAGATTGCCCACATGAGCTTTTTATCTCTGAATCTTCTCTAGCACCAAGGTGGATCATCTCTCTTTTCATTCTTTTTTTTAAAACACCCACCCTCTCCACTTTAAAGAAAAAATGCACAAGGACAACCCTGTACCCGCTACCGAGAGAGAACACCTATTAAACGTGTGCAAGAGCATGCACAAGCCATTTCTCCTCGTGCACCCTCTGTTTAAAAGTTGCTGTTTGCATCACTCATAAAAGCTTATTTTCCAAAAGAAGATTGACAGTTTTTCCATTATGTCACTCTCACCACCGCAAGCACGTAGGAAGGCCTTATATAAACATATCACCAGAATAATTGAAAATTAGGAGAACCACTTATTTTGACGATCCACCTGAAAAAAGAACATCCTCCACTATACCTTTAAGTAAAGTGAGATGTCTAAAGCAGAACATAGCTTGAGAGCCTATCTAAAATAAATATTTAGGGGTATCAGACTTCAGAGGGTTGGATGCATTATTTTGCTCTTTATATTGTATTTTTAAAGGATTTTAAAACCAAGTCTAATTTATATCTCACTGAACAACTATGCACAAATTTGTAGGGTTGTAAATTTAGTTGTAATTTGACAAAATGTGAAAAAGGCTGAATAATTGTACAAGGTGCAGTAGACCCTGTAGATTGCACATAGTCACATCATTTAATATAGGTCTAGAAATGATAGATAGATAGATAGATAGATAGATAGATAGATAGATAGATAGATAGATAGATAGATAGATAGATAGATAGATAGATAGATAGATAGATAGATAGATAGATAGATAGATAGATAGATAGATAGATAGATAGATAGATAGATAGATAGATAGATAGATAGATAGATAGATAGATAGATAGATAGATAGATAGATAGATAGATAGATAGATAGATAGATAGATAGATAGATAGATAGATAGATAGATAGATAGATAGATAGATAGATAGATAGATAGATAGATAGATAGATAGATAGATAGATAGATAGATAGATAGATAGATAGATAGATAGATAGATAGATAGATAGATAGATAGATAGCAATTTTGAATTGTTAAATGCAAGTTCTTCTTCAAGGATTGTCCAAATGCCCAGTCAGCAAGCCTTGCATAAAAATACTTCCAGGAATATGTTTGTGTATTATTAAAATATATCTAGCAAAAAACCTTTTATTTCCATTAACTACAGTAGCCTTTTGTTTACATTAAATCATATGTAGCTAAGTGGATGACATAAAACACAAGACTCAACATGTTACAATTTCAAACATATTCGTGGAACCTAAAATTGTTTTTATTATAAACAGTATCTTGAATTCATAAATGTCTCTAGATTACAGCTGTCTGTTTTACTTTGAACAACCCCTTGACTGCACTTCTTCGAATTGGACCTGCGTCAAGGCTGCGTAGTGAAACCCGCACCCCCTCCGCCTGACACAAGATGGGGGAAACCTGCAGGACCTAATGGAATCTTTGGGATTGAAGCAGTGCAGGAAATATGTGAAAATATGTTATTCTGCATAGAAAGGAAACAAAAGCTACAATCCCATAAATAAATTAAAGAAAAAAAAGGAAAATTAATTTGCATTGGCAAGAATAAGTTAATAAAAAATGTCAATTGTGTAATGCAGTTGTGCTTGAAAGTTAAGATACCCTTCCATCAAAAGCAGGAAAAAAACAGCTGCCAGTAAAATGAATTGAAATTGACAAAGTAATATAGAGAAATTATAAACAAAATAAAAATATTGGCATTGATTTAGAATACTTACCAATGTATGAATTAAAAAAATAAAACAAGAAAAAGAGCCTGTTGTTGCGCCGTACTTTTCTTTAATGTTTAGTAAAACTTCTTTTGACAGGTATGTCGGCTCACTGTTTGTTTTTTTAAATAAACTTCAAAATTTATGTTTTAATTTACTAAAATACAATTCATTATTTTCTTTCTGTTTTGTGTTATTGTAATCACTAGTGCGTATTTATCATTTGATTTAATGGGTGCTTATGTACATAGTTAAATGTGTAAATCATCCATTTTAAACTTGGTAGGCAGCTAAAAAATTACTATTTTGAAAAGGTTTTTCATTATTGGATGTTTTATATGCAACCCAGCCAGACATTTAATTGCTCAACAGGCAGAGCAGCTTAACTGCAAGCCAATCACTTTGAATAACCAAAATAATAAATTTGACACATAACAAATTATTCCAAAAAAGTAACACATTTAAACAAATAAAAGATTTCTTAAAATGATTTCCACATTATTTATTTTCACATTTAAACATTAATGTAGCTATATAAACTTTATTTTGGCAAGAAAAAATAGAGTAAACCTTAGCTTTAGCTCATTACATACAACACACCCCTCCCGCACAGACGTCTCTCTGCTGTGTGAGACGAGAAACATGTCACCAAAAACACCTTTCTCTGCTCATTCCAATCAAGAAATGTATCTTATTAAGTTAAACATTTTGCAGATATGCTGACAAGTAGTCTTTAATTTAATTTTTTAACTTATTTGAGCATAAAAAAATGACATTTTTTTGTATTTTGTATTTTTTTTTTTTTGCATTAGATCTCCATGTTTAATTTTTTTTTTTTTTTTCCTTCATCTGCATCAAAATCATGACATGCCTGTGTAAATTCTCCCTCATTTGGCTGATAGCAACCACAAAACAGGGATCACTTGGAAGTCTTTAATTTGGGACCTACACATAAAGACCAATATCTGCATTTTGACTCGCATCAACCAGTGGAACTCAAACCTTCTGTTATCAGAACTCTGAGTTACCAGCCTGACAATATTCCCTCAATTAAGGAGGAAAAAAACCCAAAGAACACAAAAAGTTTAGGTAATCACTTGAAGAATGTGGTTATCCAAACTGGGCATTTGTTAAACGGCCAAGAGAAGGATTTAGGGGGTATTTTTAAATCCAACAACATACTCATGCAAAATCTAGTTAATCCTGACATTGACAATCTTGACATGTGATCCAGTTTAGCAAGGACAGCATGTACTGCCTCATATACAGGATAAAGCACACAACAGCTACACAAACACATGGCACAGTATAGGAGAGCCAGTAGCTCTGAGCAAGAGTCAGCTGAACACTGGAAACCTCAAGAACAAAGGATACTCCTTTGAAGAACAAAATGTTCAGATTTTGGACAGAGAAGACAAATGGTTTGAAAGAGGGGTGAAGGAAGCCGTCTTTGTGAAAAGGGAAAAACCATCCCTAAACAGAGAAGGAGGGTTTCAATTTCGGCCTCCAAGCACCTACAATTCAGTTAAGGACAAATGAGTCCAATAATCCAGGAGAATAGCTGATAGCTATTTGATTTGCATCTAATTTTTGGAATGTGCTTAGGAGGATGGACCTCCATGCTACTTAAATACACCAACCAGGTAAGGAGACTGGCACAGGGAGGCAACAGGGAAGAACTCAAAAATATGCAACACTGTTAAAATATGACACAAAATGGAAAAGAAAGCAAAGAACAAAACAGAATGACATGAATAACTGAAAACTCAAAAATAAACTCAAAAAGAAGACCACAAAGCAGAACCATGTCAGTTTTGTGGGACTCATATTAGAAACATTTGGTCATAGATGACAGACAGCCCTTTTTATGTGTAACGTTTGGTCCATTTAAAGAACAACAGCTACTGTTAACAGTTAAGATGGTAGGATGCAAGAATAACAAATATCAGTTCTTTTGACTTCTGGTTTTCACTCAAGCTGACAATGAAGGTTCAGTTTGACTGAAAGGTGAGCACTCTTTGATCTGTTGTCTGTTTTGGTTTACCTACGGTATCTTAATTAATTCTGTTGGCCCTCCCTATTCTGCAAGCTGTGGTTTTCTTTGTTCGGGTCTCTTAATTACTAGGTATGGTAAAGTTAATTTCATCTTGTGTAAGATCAATCATTAGTCATAATTAAAGATGGAAGACAGTGTTTGCAAAATTTGAACTTAAATTGTGGGTTTTAGACCTACCGTACTTTTTTGTGGACTCATGCAAAAGACTGCATTCAATTACACTCATTTACAAAACAAGTTATGAATTCTTGCTTATGTTTGGAAGTTTTTACATTACTGGGTATTATGTGTTCAGTTTTTCAGGTGTGCTCTTGAGGTGCATTCACAGGGTGTGCATGTGTCCCCATGTAAAGGCATTTTCAGAGGCCAGCTAATGGTCAGTGATGAGGCACACACCTTTGATCAAGCAAAGTTAGTGTTTTACAGGCCCTAATATTTTAACTAAATACCTATGACAAAGGATATAAACTGAGGAGAAGAGTTGTTTATCATTCATTTTCACTTTACAAGGATTTCTATAAAAATAAACAAAGAGGGTTTTTGCTTTTCCAAAATAAAGGAACAAAAGGTCATGTGATTATCCAAAGCTTTTAAGAGTTACAGTTTTTACTAATAATACAGCTGGAAGCCCTTAAATCTGTCTGACTTGCATTTTCTTTACAACAGGAATTTTGACTGATGCAGGGCTAAATGAGATATTTGTAGAAA